TTTCGTTGATATGCAATTTCGCTCAAAAGAGGCAATATATTAATATGTTTATTGAAGATAAGTTAAAGCTTAACAGTAGCAATATTCTAAATCAAAGCATCGATGTGCTAAATTATTTAAACAGAATATAAAAGCAAGATGCATACTTGTTGGAAAGAACCTCGAGGAGTCTTTATTGTATCCTGAATGAAACGTGAGGCTCACCTGGAATTTCCCCGAGGGTTGTCTTGATTAGCCACATATTCTCGGAACTTTCCCTTCTCGAACCCTTCCTCGATTTGCTCATTTAGTGCATGGCAATTCTCGATGTCATGCCCATGATCTTTATGGAAAGAACACCATAAGTGTCTCGGTTGCTTGCTTGGATCTGTTGACATGGGACGTGGTACTTTCAACTCATTCTTATGGACCTCTAGGATTTCAGCTCGAGGACGAGTTAAAGGCGTATAAGCATCTACCTTTCGCTTTGCTCGGTCATGGACTCTTTCTCGATCGCGATTGTGTTCTAGTTCTCAGTCGCGATCTGCCCCTAGGCCTTTAGCCTTGTACTCGAACGATACCTCTTCTCATAAGGGTGCAGGCTATCTCGTGCTCAACGTAAATCTTCTTATGCGCGAACTTCAGTTTCAACCATTGAGAAGAGTTGTTGCAATGTATGTGGCGGCTCTTTTGTTAGCTTTTGTCGCAAAGTAGCAGGTGCCCCATATGGATAAAGACCATTGGTGAAGGTTGCAACAATCTTCTCTTCAGATACTCCTTCGACTTGAATTTGTTCTTTGGTGAAGCGGCTATAATACGCTCCAACAGATTCTTCTCGATCTTGCTTGAGGGACATTAGCTCAGTAATCGTCTTGCGAATCTTCTTTCCTTGGAAGAACCTTGTGTGGAACAAGGTTCCCAACTCATGAAACGACCGAATACTCCTCGGAGGCAGTGTTCCAAACCAAAGTTGTGCTTGCCCCGTGAGATAAGTAGGAAACGCCATGCACATGAAATCATTAGGAGCATTCCTCAATCTCATTGCATTCTTATAAATTTGCAAGAATGCCATAGGATCGGTATCTCCTCCGTGAGCCTTCAAATCCGGAAGTTCAAACTTCTCGGGCATGGGTGTTTCTCGGATACGTTGGATGAATGGACTGTCGTCTTCCTCCGCGTCTTCTTCAGATCTGAGAACCTTGCGCAATTTCTCCTCGATGGTGGAGGGTACTCGAGGCGAAGGGACATTCACTCGAGGGGGATAAGTTTCTTCTCGAGTTACAAGGTGATGTCCTCGAGAGATGCCCCCAGGGTTGTCCTCTTTTGAGAAGGTACCCAGATCGTCGACCAAGTGCTGTCGTTGGTTGCTGTCGAGTTCGTGAAAACTCTTCACAAAATCTTGAAACTTGTTGAACAAGGTGAGTTGAAATTTGAAAAAGGCCTCCATAAGGTTTTGATCAAACAAACCACCAGACGGCCTGTTAGAGGATGGCCCTGATGGAGTTGCTTGTTTGTCTTTTTCAGCGGCAGTAGCAAGGGTTTTTGTTTTTCTTGCACCATTACGATGTTGATGTTGCGCAGCGTAAAGCACCAAAAAATTCCACTTCGCTTCAAGAAATTTATTTAGTTGTAAGGACCAAACAAATCGGTCCCACTGGGCGTGCCACTTGACGAAGTTTGGATTTGTACGGTGCTTAGGACGGACGGCGATGATGACCTAGGCGGCGGCAAACAGCCTAAAACTGCAAGACAGAGCCTCGGTTGTCTCCCGAGGGTAGACTCTCCGATGCTTAAGTCAATAAAGGGATAGAGATAATAGAGAGAGAGGGATGTGTATCGTGTGTAGAATGTGTAAAAGATATGTAAAAGATATGTATTATGGGAGAGGCATCACCTCTTTATATAGAGGTGGTGTTACCTGTTTGATGAAATCTAGTCGTATTAAGTTTAGGCGGTGACTTAATCTCTAAGATAGCCGGCCCAAACCCATTAGGGTTAGAGTTAATTTATGACTCGTCAAAGATGATGGTCAATGTAACGCGGAGAAACAGAACAATGGATGAAGTCCCCCATGAACTTCATTAGGAGTTAAGCTTCTCTTGAAAATGAAAGAAATGCATGTATGGCCAAAACTTGGCTAACCCTTTCCCTCTTCATCAACCACATGTAGCTGCAAGGATACTGTTAAAAAAATGCACTTGAGTTTGTTGACATATTTATTCAATTTGGCTTTTACACCAGTCTCATATTGTATTGCACCAGTCCCGTTTCTGCTTAGGTACCATTTTTTTTTCTCTTTTTTATGTAATGAGTATCAACCCACCCTTAGCTAAACATATCCTCTCAATTTCTCATGTTATAATTTTTCTTAATTTATTTTTAAAAATCAACTTAATTACACTTAAGTTGCAATTGCAAACGAATCAATTTTGCGACATCATAAAATGGTTACAAATTTAGATTAACCTAGTTATAATTTTTCTACATTTTAAAAAAGGAAAGATACAGTGATGACATGTGACATAATAACCCTAAAAACATGCTCTGAAACTTTACTTTAATACATACGTAGATATATAATCTTAATTCGAAAAAATAGGGGACTTTATTCTTATGAGATGGAAGAGTGAGTATTTTACCCTTGCATTAGTTTGTTCGTCTAGTTACACACAAAATATAAGAAAAAAAGGATAAAGATATCAAACGTAAAAACTAAACCACAACATAGGGGGAAAAAGAAACTCCTTTGGTCAATAAAATTAATTTAAATTCTACAAAATACATGTATCCATTAATATCAAATGAATTAAAAAAAAAAATCAGATTTTCTTTTGCAATATGTTCATCACGTAAATATGTCTGATGGTGTTCGGTGAAGATTATTAAAATATGCAGTAGGAAAGCCAATTGCAAAAAGAAAAAGAAAGAAAGAAAGAAAGAAAATGATGGGATGGACTCGACGACGGAGGACACTTAGGACGAGGAAATAAGTTACCATACAAAACTTTCTTATGATTGATTACTTTAAACAGCAGTCAACAGAGATGTGATTGGTTTAAACCAAAATTAGCTTCTTAATTAAATTTCTATCTTTTCGAGTGCCTTTATATGAACTTTGATGAACAACATAGATGCGTCTAATTGAACAACAAAATTATCGATTAACATTTTTTGATTGAAAAATTAATTAACGACACATTAAAAAAAAAGCGACCAATTACTTATTTCCAGAAACATCATGAATCCCTATCAGCTGCTGCTCTGTTTTTGGCCCATTTTTTGTTGTGGTCAATTCTTGAGGCAGAACTGAAGAGTTAATTTTGTAAAAAATGGGTACGTAAAGCTGCTTCTCTTTCTTAATTTTGATGAGACTGTTTCTTACATCTTGCCTCATTTAAAATTTCCCTTTGTTGTAATGTACGCCTTCTTTCTCAAAATAATCACCTGAATAAACATTTTTTATTCTTAGTACAAATTAAATTAAAAATGAAAATTCAATCATAAATATTTTGTATTTTAGATTCCAGAAAGTATATATTTTAAGGTTTTTTTAGGATCCCTACTTATGTTTTCGTTATCAGTGAGATGACTGGACAAGTTCATATACTACTCACAATCCCAAAAAACCCAGTTCTCATGCAACCTACCTAATCTTTCTTCTTTTTTTCCCCCCCTTTTTCTTTTCTTTTCTTTCTTCTTTTTTTTTTTTGTTTTTTGCTTCTTTTTTTTTTTTGTTTCTTATTCCCCCCAGAATTGACATATTGAAATTTTTGGATGAATGAGAACATTCCACCTCGGGTGGACTGGGATTGGACTGGACTAGTAAGAGTTGACCGTTGGACTACGGATTAATTGCTACGGAACATGATGAATGATTCTCACCTCACAATTTAATTGACCCGTAAAATTAAAATGTACAGAGAACGACAGCACTACTACACGCACGAATCATATTTTGGGAAGAAATTACTCTTATACAATATCATACTACCTCCGTCCCACAAAAATAGTTCACATTAAGTTTTCAGATTTATACTAAATATTGTATAAAACTTAAAACTTAATTTGGATTATTTTTGTGGGACGGAAGGAGTAATAGAGTCAGGATGTGTAACGGGTAGATCACCAAATTTTACTATTGGTTCTCAATCATGACTGCTTCGAAACTAGTGACGCTAAAGCAAATCAGTCAGCACAATCTATATCTATATACTATACTAAGGCAAAAACCAGAGAGAAAAAACTAAAGGCATGGAGCACATGTCACATAGGATTTAATCCTATGTGGCATTTTCTTAATTTCTTAAACTTAAAAATACACAAAACAAAATAATAAAACCAAAAAAAAGCAACTAAAATAATTTTTAAAAAAAGCAAAATAATTAAAACCAAACCCTTATTTTCATGAACCAAATCCTAACACAGAGATTGATTGGAGAGAGTACCAAATCCTAACAAATTTTAGAGAGATTTGCATAAACCTTATCACCCATGAATTTAAAATGTCATTTTAAAAAAACAAATTCCTATAAATCTATAGGTAATCATGTTTAAAACTGAAGTCATTACATATTTTATAACAATACAAAATTTATGTAAAAATGTCTAAATGTGTATGCCTTCCCTGTCCATCGGACGGGTCTAACGCCTAGTTGAAAACTGAACAAATGCTTCAACTCCACCATGCCACTGGAAAAGTATACTGCATTTTAATTCTACATGACTTGAATCCCGCATTATAAACTTGACAAAATGAACGATAGATTCATCCACACAGAGGGATCTCTTTAATTTCCAACATTCAAACTAACCCCAAGGACCAGCAATCTGGAACATAATGTTACTTCAACTTTGATTTTTGGCAATGTACATTACGAAGCAAAAGATACCTAATCAAAGAATTGGTCCGAATTTGATATGAGATATGAGTATAAATATCAGGGCTGTTCTTCATTTTCATTCATACAAAACAACAAATCCTGTAGAATAAGGCAAGAAATCATATACAGTAATAATAGTTCATGGCGGTCAAGTTCACGAAGATGATGATCGTCTTTGCTCTCTTTTTTCTATCCATTTTCTCCTCATTTTCCTCTTGTCCTGATTATCAAAAACAATCCCTTCTTCAGTTCAAATCCGTCTTGCTCAATGCAACAACTAAAAACTCCGGCTTCTTACAATCATGGAATTCCAGTGCTTCCGACTGTTGCTCTTGGGATAGGGTCATTTGCTCCCCGTTCCAGCAGGTTGTTGAATTACATCTTAATTTCCTAATCACTGACTTGAATTCGATGGTTCTTTCTTCCTCTGTTCTGGCTCCCCTGTTTCATATAACCTCCCTAACGCTACTAGACGTATCCTTCAATTATTTCCATGGTGATCTTCCAACTGAAGGCTGGGACAATCTCACCACATTGGTCCATCTTGACATGAGTTCTATTTCAGCCACAGGCAAAATTCCCACACAATTATATCGCTTGAGATCCCTTAGTGCTCTATACTTATCAGATAATAAGTTTTCGGGCTCTTTGAGTCCTGAAATCGGGAACTTAACTAGTCTCGTCACGTTAGATTTGGGTTCGAATTATTTTGGTGGAAAGATCCCTGAGGAGATTGGAAACCTCACCGAGTTACAAAGCCTTTACCTGAATAAAAATGGCTTCTTCGGTGGAATTCCATTGTCAGTTCTGAATTTGAAACAACTTCAGGAGTTAGATTTGAGTTACAACCAATTGTCTCTCCAGATTCCAACTAACATAGGACATTTGCTTAACCTGTCTAAATTGTCTTTGAGCAACAACAAGTTCACGGGTGAAATTCCTCTGTCATTGCAGAATCTGACGAAAATGAGGGATCTTAGGCTCCGAGATAACTCGCTCACCGGAGAATTACCATCTTGGTTGTTCGATTTCGAGACGCTCTATGTATTGTATCTTGGAGGCAATAACTTGATGTGGAAACACAATAACTCCAAAATAGTACCCAAATCCAGGTTATCTTATCTTTCTCTGGGATCCTGCGGTTTGACAGGGGAAATCCCTGAATGGATTTCGACCCAAAAAGGCCTTCGTTATTTGGATTTGAACAAGAACAATCTCTCGGGAACATTTCCACTTTGGCTAGCTGAGATGAAGCTTCTTTATGTGATTATCTCAGATAACAAACTCGCTGGCTCTCTTCCTCCTCAGCTCTTCAAAACCAACACCTTGGAATTCCTTGATCTATCGCGGAATCGCTTCTCGGGCGAGCTACCGGGCAATATTGGTGATGCTACCAAAGTTATGGTTCTTATGTTGTCGGAAAACAACTTCTCCGGGTCTCTTCCTAGCTCCATGTCTTTCATGGAAAGCCTACAACTTTTGGATTTATCAAAGAACAAGTTCTCTGGAAACAACTTTCCATCATTCGGTGGCGATTCGCTTGAACTAATTAATTTGTCTTCCAATGAGTTGTCAGGTGAAATTCCGGTAGCCTTCCCACAGATAACAAGGATTCTTCTCTTGGGTAACAACAAATTCTCTGGAGCAATTCCTCGAAACCTCACCAGCTTGATCAAACTTGAACAACTCGATCTTCATGATAACAGAATTTCAGGGGAATTCCCTGATTTTCTAACAGAAATTTCCACTCTTCAGATCCTAATCCTCAGAAACACATCCCTTCAAGGTTTTATCCCAAACAACATTTGTGAACTCAATGACCTCCGAATCCTTGATTTTTCCCGGAATAATCTTACAGGAAACATCCCAAAAGATCTTGGAAATCTCACCAGAATGACCGAAAAGCCTCCAGCAGATTCCGTCCTAGCAACTTACTTCATAATGCCATTTGAACTAGACAAGCCCTTATCTCACGTCTCCGAATTGATTGTCAACTGGAAGAGATCAATGCTGGCACTTCCATCAGCTCCAGGACTCGACGATGTTTATTCATTATTAGACTTGTCCATGAACAAACTCTCAGGTGAAATTCCAACAACACTTGGTAATCTCAAAGGGCTGAAAATATTGAACATTTCCTTCAACAATGTATCCGGAACCATACCATACAACTTTGGGTACTTGGAGAATCTGGAGAGTTTGGACTTGTCACATAACGATCTCTCTGGCGTGATCCCGCCATCGTTTAAGAACCTGCAACAACTCACTACTTTGGATGTTAGCTACAACCAGCTCGAGGGTCCGATTCCCACAGGTGGACAAATGGATAGCATGAATAACCCGAACGACTTTGCTAATAACATGGGGTTGTGTGGGATTCAAATACGACTGCCATGTCAAGTGAATACACCGTCTTTGCCGAGTTCAGGACACGGTGATGAGACCCATGATGAGTCAAGTTTTTCCTGGGAAGGAGCTCTGATTGGTTTTCCAGTTGGGGTTTTCCTTACCATTTTGATCATATATTTAACTGGTTGGTTTCAAGCAGCCACATTTGCCCCAATTCCTGGTAGGAGGCGCCAGAGAAGAAGAGCTATCTCAAGGAGGATCAGAGTCTAGATACATAAAACATCATCATAACACTATTGTGATGAAATGACTTAAAATTCACGTGACTCTCAAAACAGCAAGCCGGAAACAGAATTTCCGATTACTAATTGATTTCTAATCCAATAATTTGTTCTACAAGCCAAACAACCATGACTCGTGGTTCGTTAGGTTTTTTATAGCTGGTCGTGTTATTGGCCTTATGATCTGTCTTCATGAATTGCACAATGAAAGATCTTATATTAAAAGTTGACTGGATTTGCCATTAGTTTGTACTATTGCACAAAGTGAAAGAAGTGTATTTGGAATGCTAATTTTACCTCTTAGGAGAGGTTATTTTTTTAATGGTTATAAATAAAAGAAAATTACTTTCGTGCAAACTTAATTAGGAGACTGATCAAAGCTCTCTGATGATGAAGAATTGACGATTTGATGCTGTGGCTTCGTTTAAATTCCTCTGTAACTCCGCGCCCCATCTAGAAACTGGATGCTCCCTTTCGAGAGGCAAAACTCTCACAACAACTCAGCCACTTGATTCCGTAAAGTGTGTGGGTACAAAACTCGCCACTTGAGAGGTTCATTAAGCTTCTAATCAAATTGAGAGAGCCAATATCAACTTTGAATATCTTTGACAGTGCTGCCTTTGAAATTTAAGTATACCATTATTGAAAACGGTAGAATCATTGTTACAATAAGGCTACTGAGTAATAACCACCGTAGTCTCCACGAAAGTAATTTAAGATTCAGTCTTAATGCCAATAACACTTGACTAGCCTATCTTAGATTATGAATTTCAAAATTGACGGCTAGATTCGAAAGTTAAATTTATTTTGAGAGTTTCATAAGGTTATTATAAATTAATCGTGCTAGATATAAGAAAATTCTTTTCAACCCAACATAAAAGAAATCACTAGAAAGAAAACAACTGAAGAGACAATTTCTTGAATTTGTATATAAATCTGGAATCAGGTAAAGGAAGAACAAGAATTTGACAAACTAAGCTTGAAGCAGTTTCTAGAATGAAGTTTCTGGAATCTATTTCTCTTAACCGTTATCTGTACATTAAATCCATATATATATCACTAACCTGCTAGTTAACCGACTTAACTTATACAGATCTAATAGTTACAAAAATAGTCCCTGGATATTTACATAACCAACCTAATCAGTACAACTACTTTACAAAGTCAAAAAATCAACCATGATCATTTAACCCGAACTGTGCTGCATTCTCTACATCCCCTCCACAAGCTGGACCAGGAAGCATGGTCTTCACGTCAAGCTTGTTCAACAACTTGGAGAATGCAGGAAAAGGTAAGGACTTTGTGAAAATATCTGCAGTTTGCTCCTGAGAAGGAATATGCAGAGGAACCAAAAAACCTTGATCATATTGATGCCTAACAAAATGGCAATCAATCTCAAGGCGCTTTGTTCTTTCATGAAAAACCGGATTCTCCGTTATGTAGATGGCTGCCTTATTATCACACCAGAGAGACAATGGAAGCTGAAGCTGAATCTTGAAGTCATGTAGTAGGTAAGATATCCACAGCAGTTCCCTGGTTGTAACACTCGGTATTCAGCTTCAGCAGATGAACATGATATTGTTGGTTGCTGTTTTGTCTTCCAAGATATCAATGAAGGACCCAAAAAGTACACAGTATCCACTGACTGACCTCCTTTCTACAGGATTTGATCCCCAGTCTGCATCACTGTAGGCTTCTAACTGGAAGTTGTTTGTTGAAGGATAGAAAAGCCCGTGTGCTGGTGACCCTTTCAGGTATCTCAAAACATGAACTAATGCACTCCAATGATCATCGCGTGGAGTCTGAACATGTCTGCTTAGTTGTTGCACTGAGAAAGTAATATCTGGTCTTGTGAAGGATAGATACAGTAACTGGCCGACTAACCTTCTATACCTGGAAGAATCACTGATTGGAGGCCCTGGTTTATCCGAGAACTGATGATCTTTGGGCAAAGGCGTGGTCGTTGGTTTACACCCAAGTAACCCTGCTGTTTTGAGTATGTCAAGCACATACTTCCTCTGATTCAAGTAGAGGCCTTCTTGTGATCTAGTTAACTCAATACCCAAGAAGTATTTGGCATGACCTAGATCTTTGATTGAGAATTGATCAACAAGATACTGCTTCACTTGTTGAATAGCATGATCATCTGATCCCGTGACAAGGATATCGTCTACATATACCAGTAAGGCCAAGAAAATGTTGTCATTGTCCTTCAAGAATAGGCAAGGATCATGTTGGGACTGTTTGAAGCCAAAAACATGGAGTTTTGCACAGAGCTCCTAGTTCCACTGTCTGGATGCTTGCTTGAGCCCATACAATGATCTGTTCAGCTTGCATACCTGATTCTTAGTTGCCTTGTCGTATCCTTCATGAGGATTCATATACACTTCCTCTTCTAGATATCCATGCAAGAATCCAATTGCTGAATTGGCCAGTTACAACCTGTGGCAATTGCTAACAACAACCTGACAGTAACAACCCTTGCAACAGGTGAAAAACTATCGTAATAGTCTTCCCCTTCCAGCTGATTATACCCTTTTGCCACAAGCCTGGCTTTCAACCTTTCAACTTGGCCATCTGAGTGTAATTTGACTTTGTACACCCACTTGCTACCAATTGCTTTCTTCCCTTTTGGCAAAGCAGTCACTGTCCAGGTTTAGATTCTAGAGCCTCTAACTCTTTCTGTATTGTGGCTATCCATCTCGGGTCTGAACTGGCCTGCAAATAAGACTGAGGTTCCTGGACATGGTCTAATGTTGCCATAAAAGCCATATGAGTGCTTGAAAACTGAGTTGGTAAGGGATAATATGGGTATGTTGGTGGTGTATGTGGGGATGAGGTGAGTGTGTGTGACTGTGACTGAGTGTGAAAAGCATTATGATGACGAACAAACCATGCATGATTAGGCACATAATCATTCATCCATATGGGTGTATGCTTAGTTCTAGTACTCTTTCTAGGCAGGATGGAATGAGAAGATGTGGTAACAGAATGGGGAATTGGATCATTATCAGAAGAATCGGAGTGTGGGAGTGGTGAGCTAATTGGCTGCATAGGTGACAATGGAGAATGTGAATGTTGAGGTTCCATGGAAGCAGCAGACTCGGTTAAGTGATTCTGGTGTAGATTCTGAGGAGAAATCGGATCATCAGGATCATTCAAGTGATCTTGATGAAGATTTTGTGGTTTTGATTGATGATTAGGATCATTCTGTGGATTTGGTGGACCACCATGATCATGTAAAAAATCATGATGAAATGTCTGCGTGGTTGTGTGATTGAAATCCTGAGTGACATTCCACTGATCTGTATGAAATGTATCAAGCTGATCTGGTAAAGGTTGAGATAAAGAGGCTGAAGATTTTGTTGAGCTAGAAAGATATGGAAATGTGGTTTCATGGAATACCACATCTCTGGAAACAAATACTTTTTTTTCTTTTAATGAATATAGTTTGTAGGCCTTCTGACCTGGAGGATATCCAATAAAAATAGCCTGTATAGCTCTAGGATCAAACTTCCCTTTGGATGGTAAGGTGTTTGTGGCATAACATAAACTGCCAAAAACTCGAAGGTGTGATATATCTGGTGGTTTAGCAAAAAGAATCTCATAGGGACTAATGAACTGGAGGACTGAGGAAGGAAGTCTGTTGATTATATTTGTGGCTGTGAGCAAAGCATCACCCCAAAAAGTTTTGGGTAAACCTGATTGAAACATTAGGGATCTGGAAATTTCTAACAATGGTTTGTGTTTCCTTTCTACCACTCCGTTTTGCTGCGGAGTGTATAGACAAGATTTTTGATGAAGGATGCCTAATTGAGACAACAAGGTTTGACATTTGTGACTAAGAAACTCAGTCCCATTGTCTGAGTTAATACACTTCACAGGTTTGTTAAACTGAGTTTGTATCAGTTTCAAAAAGTTTTCTAAAATGGAAACACTCTAAGATTTGTGATGCATGAGAAAAGCCCATGTGGACCGACTATAGTCATCCACTATGGTAAGGAAATATTGTGCACCACTCAAAGATTTACATGAATTTTGTCCCCATATGTCAATGTGAATGAGATCAAAACAAGAATTGGATTGAATATAGCTGGTGGAAAACTGCAATCTTTGTTGCTTTGATAAAGGGCAAATATTACAGGTTTTGGATATATTTACATCGTCGGAAATTCCTAAACGATGCATTATTGAATCTGGAACGTGACCAAGTCTATGGTGCCAAACAACAGTGTCAACATGACTAGAAAAATGAGAAAAATGATTATGACTACAACTAGCATACTTCACAAATGGATGATTTTTATGTAAATCTATAAACTGCATGATAGTCTCAACAGCAAATGATCTGTGATCTAACACATATAGTTTGTTCATAAGCCTTCCAACAGCCACAATCCTTCTAGTCACTTGGTCCTGCAACAAACAGAAGTTTGTTGAGAAGAAGCAATCTATGTGTGAAGAATTGGCTAGTTTACTGACTGAAAGAAGGTTGTACTTAAAGTTGGTATATGCAAGACATCATCAATGTGAAAACTGTCAGATAGTTTTACTGTGCATGTGTGTTGTACTGGTTTAAGACTACCATCAGGTAGACAAACAGGAGTGTATTGTGTGAGTGGTTTATATGTATAGAACAGTTTTAAAAGAGCACTCATATGACCAGTGGCACCGGTATCAATAAACCATAGAGTTGGAAACGACAAGTCTGATATTGATACGCCTTTCAAGGTTTCAAAAGTGCTCATACCTGCAAACTCGTGGTAATGAGCAAAATTGACTTGATGGTGAGTGTCATCTATTTGCTTTCCCTTGAGAAGCTTTCCAATCTCTTGCTGAAGCAGGCTAATGTGATTCATCATCTGTTGAAGTTGATTATGAGAGGTTCCATCAGAGTCAGCCCTGGATTCTGGATGAGTATTCACCAAGTTTGCAGAGAAACCTCCTCCTTTGCCATATTGTGTTGATTTACCTTCCTTGTGATTGTCATTCCACCAATCAGGGTATCCGATCAACTTAAAACAGTCTTCCGTCAAATGTCTAGGCATCTTACAATGGTCACACTTCAAGCTCTTCTTGTATGCCTTGTCTTTTCTAAAGTCATTCTCCCTAGATCCTTTGTTGAATTTTCCCTTCTGTGAGAACATAGCAACCTGATCCCCCTGAGATAATTGTGGATTCACTGCTGATTGTACACTCTGCTGGTTAATAGACTGCTTGCTATACATCGCACTTTGATCTACAACAGTGCCATAAGTCACATTTACTCCATTCTGTTCTTCAACTCTTAACACCATTCCATATGCTTTCTTGGCATCAGGTAGTGGTTCCATCAACAAAATGTGATTTCTGACATCTGAGTAAGTAACATTGAGACCTGTCAAGAACTGATATAGCTTAGTTTTCATATCCTTTATGCTTTCTCTCTTGAACAGGCAAGTACATCCTCCACAATTGCACTCCTCCACTGGATCAATATACTGCAATTCATCCCAAAGGCGCTTCAATCTTGAATAATAGGCAGCAACAGATGTATTTCCTTGAGCAATTGTACAGATCTCTCTCCTCAATCTGTAAACCTATGGTCCATTCCGAGTACCATGTCTTTCTTTCAATTCATCCCAAAGATCCTTAGCAGTCTCAACCAAGCTATAATTCTCGACTAAGGCAGGAGAAATCACATTGAGAATCCAAGACACAACAGTCTCATCCACACGAATCCATTGCTCTTTTTCAAATCCTAAAACCCTAGGTTTTGGATAACTACCATCGATAAAACCTAGCTTATTCTTAGTAGCTAATGCTCGTCTAATCGCTCGATTCCACATGATAAAATTCATTTCATTCAATTGAAAATTAACAAGTGCATTTGTCGAATTATCAGACAGAAGCAGGATAAGTGGATGAACATACCCTCCGATATTCGGCAAATTATTCTCTGTTCGTTGAAGGTGATGTTCGCCGTGTGTTTCTCCTCCGCCGCCAATCATTCTGTCTATCGGAGGTCACCGGAGATTAAGATCTTGATGCTCTGTGTAACAGCGGTCACCGAAGATTAAGATCTTGGTGATAATCGGAGGTTTTACAGTTACCGGAGCAGGATCAGACCTGCTCTGATACCATCTTGAATTTGTATATAGATCTGGAATCAGGTAAAGGAAGAACAAGAATTTGACAAACTAAGCTTGAAGCAGTTTCTGGAATGAAGTTTCTGGAATCTATTTCTCTTAACCGTTATCTGTACATTAAATCCATATATATCACTAACCTGCTAGTTAACCAACTTAACCTATACAGATCTAATATTTACAAAATAGTCCCGGGATATTTACATAACCAACCTAATCAATACAACTACTTTACAAAGTCACAAAATCAACCATGATCATTTAACCCGAACTGTGCTGCATTCTCTACACAACTGTTGGGAACTGAAGATCCTGGATTAGGAGTTTAGGACTGAATTTTGATAGATTCTTCAAATCATGCAATAAAGAGACATAATTAGCTAACATCTTGATTTGCTTCTCTAAACTTCCTTAATTAGCTAGCTCGCCATAACTTCCTTACCACCATTGCAAATTAATGACCAGTAGAGAAAGGCGTAAACACGAGATATTTAGGTGTCCAGAACAAGAACCAAATGGAGGCTATTACCGACTAGACTTTTACATTAAAGGATGGATCCATTCCCCAGGATCACAACCTAGAATCCATTAGGATTGAAGTCAACAAAATCCCACACATTAATAGACAAGCACGAGGTATAAAACTACCAACAGACACAAGCTGATCAAAGTGGAAAGAACAACAAAGGAATTGAAAAAGATGCCACAGCATCAAATCTTCATCATCAGAGAGCTTTTCCCCAGAGATCATCAGCAGCAGCATCACGCACGCCGCAAAGGGGGATTTGGAAATGAAAATGATGGGGTTGAGCGAAATTTTTCTGCATCATCACTGGAGACCTTTATACACCACCCGTCGCGCCCTACATGATAAACTTCAAACCAGGAAGAGAAAAACCGTCAAATCATCAGGTGGGAAAAAAGAAGAAAAGAACGAGAAACAGCAGATGGACCAATCATCAGGAAGAAACTAGTTTAGGATTGAAAGCAAGGATTTGTATACGGATTCACAACATACCACCAATGAATTCACGGTCTTTCAGGAGCTCGATAAGAAGCAAGGCAAAGCCCTTTTTCAGCCACAAACACAGCTTCACTAAGGGTCATACTGAAATAGGACCTGTACGGAAACCAGTAAAAAGTTCTTAAGCACCTTCAAGGAATTTTAAGCAAAAGTTCAAAAATCTGATCCAGAAAACCGAGTACAAGACGAATTAAAGCAAAAAAGAAATACTAGTGTCTGAAGCAATAAGAGGGCCAAGTATCAACAGAAAATTAAAGGCAAGGCAGGGAAAAATCAGTTCACTTGTTACAACTAAAAGTAATCCTTTAGGTAATGGGGGCATACTTGACATCGGCAATCAGAAAATCAAAAGCATATCTGGAACCCGACCCGTTACGCACTTTTCCCTCCTTACTGTCCACATGATACAGGAAAAATCCCTACAAAAAAGACAAACCATGATCAATTTAAAAAAACAGTTAGCAGGCAGAAGCAAAGAGAAAGAGTACTCTTGAAGTTTACCAATCCATCCCAACCAGCGATCAGCACTCCGACTGACAACCCCTCCTCCCTGTTGGAAGACAGAGTGTCGGCCAGCCACTTTGATGCTTGTGCAGCAGAAGCTCTTGTCCCCTCCCTGAGTTCATATTCATGGCACTATAGAACATAGAGTCACAGACAATGTTGACACGAATTACAGAGGAGCCATTCAAGGAAAACTTACAGTGTACATAAAATGTATACTAGCATCAAAGTACCTTTTTTTGCAGATCTGTGAGTAAGTATTCACTCCCTCCAGAAATAGTCGCAAGGGTGTGAGAATTGAGTACAACAACGTTCTGAGGCCACAACCCTCATGCTAAATTTAACACGGAAACAAAGGATGTTTAATGGCTTAGTACTTCAAATCAGTTCACAGAACAAATACATGGGATTAAAATAGTAAACCAACTCACATTTGCTTGAGCTATACACTGAGTGATCCACAGCTAACATAACTCTGTCTTTGAAAACAAAACCCAACGCAGTAGTTCCCTTCTTATACTTAGGGTGATCACCTTCCTAGAAACACCAATATAAGACGGTGTCAAAGTCACCTTGGGCTCCCATCTCAAAACCAATTGACAATGAGTGGGGTGGCCTTTGGCATTTATAAACAGGTGACAGATCCTTCACGACACCGATGTGGGATTCTTTTGTCCCAACAGACAGGAAAGTAAATAAATCAAACAAAAGAGATTAGGGAAAAAATGAAAATCTTCTTTCAAAAATTAAGCTTATAGACACACACACACACATTAGGAGGGGGAAAAAAAACTAACCCCTTATATTAGGAGGAAGCTAAAAAAGCATTACTACGAGCGACTAATTCCTTGGCAGTTTCTGCATCCATAGTTCCCACCTTCAATCAGAGCAAAACAAACAAAACTATCAAACAAAAAGAAAAAGAAGTCGTTTCAAAGGAAATGGATTCTAACCCTAATTGTCATCCGGGCTAAGACCGCATTACAAATAGATATTTGGAATTCAACCAATAACCCGAACAAGAAAAGAGTGAACTTAAAAGAAAGTACATTACCTTTTTGCCGGTTGAAAAAATGGGGGGTTTAGATCCACCGGAGGTCCCATCCATCGTTCCCACCTGGATCTGAGCCTAAAAAAATGAAAATAGAAAAAAAAAAAAAAACAATGACAAAATCAGATGAGATATACTATTGTATGTAAATTTTGGCCCTAAATCAGACGAATAGTATTTTTATTTATTATATTGTAACAGCAAAAAATATAATCTATTATTAGTTTTTTATGAAAATCAGAGGAAAAGTTAATGAGGATGGACGAGCGAAACAAAGAGGGTGAAGAAGCAGGTAAAACAAGCTTTTGATAATTAAGGGTAGTTCCGGGAAAGGAGTAATCTTTTGCTCGGAAGGCTAATAGCCTAATAATAGCTCTGGCATCATCACTAATTAACCATATGAAAAAGGCTACTCAATAAATACATTTATACAAAAATAAATGACTTACAATATTTGTTTGCATTTTGAAAAATGAAATGGGTATTATTGGAGAACCTTTTTTACGTGGAACAAATTCACTTATCAACGGACATTTTCGGATTCCAGTACCCATAAATACAGAGAATGTAAATCTTAAAGAAAAAATAATAATTTTAGCTATGCTTTTTTTTTAGAAAAAAAGGAAAAATAAATGATCTCTAATGATCGTGTTAATTTATTATTATTATTTTTTTCAAATAATGCTTTTTGTCAACAATTTTTAGTACGCTTTTTTTTTACTTCTGATTGCTGATAGTCTCGTCATTCTTTAATACTCCTTGATTTTGACTCTGTTATTACTTTAATTTTTTGAGGTAAATCAATGGTTAATGATATATAGAGGTTGTCTGGTTCAAGAATGAAATATGAGTTATAAAGCCAGTTTTAAATATAAGGCCAAAGAATTACGAAATGGGGATCTCCATGAGATGCATGCGATGTTACTTGTCCATGTATTTCGTTTTTCTTATTTCTTTTCTTATTTTTTTTTTCTTTTTGATACATAGAAGGGAGGCCAATGTATATGGTAATAACATTACAGTATAAGACACCCGTGAAACATCGTATCCACTCAGTGACCAAGTAATTGCTCATGTATTTCAAAATATAAGCGTGTGCACATGTAATAATTTCCACACTACCATCATATATATCTTTCTGTTATTTCTCTATAGTATGTAGTATTTATTATGGTTGGGAAACTTTTTTCTTAATAACACATAATCACGGTATGTATATAAATATCTATATATATATATATATATATATATATATATCTTACTATATTAGAAACAAAAACCACACTTAAAAGAAAGCACCATCATTTGTCATGTGGCATTTCCACATCATATTTTTAAAATAAATTTTTATTACCACATCTCCTAAATTTAAAAGGCAAATGCAGTCTAAATTCACTTCCACCTCCTATTTTCGTCAAAACAAACAAAAAAAAAAAATCACAGGTTCATAAAAACCCCAAATTCTCATCCCCATCTCCATGACAATCGACTCCTTAATCAATCCCTTCTCCACAATTAAAAAAAACACAAATTCCTCATCAATCATCAATTGAGAATATGTGGTGAAATATACTCCTTTCCTATTAGCATATTCAATCTTTTCGTTAGTAATGATCAACTACATCTTAATCGGATAAAATTTCAACTTCAAAAATATTCTCTTTACCTCTCTATATAAACACAAACGAAAAAAAAAAATTCTCATTGATCTTGCTTCGGCCGCTGTAGTCGTGCCATTACAGGTATTAAAATTTAAATGATTTTATTTCCACAGATCATTGGTTTGGCTTTTATTAGTTTTTGTTTTTCCCATTTAAGAATATTGTTATTACTATTATTTTTATGCGTCCATCCGTTACAGCTACCATAGCCGTTGTCAGGTAGTATGATGTGATTTCTTATTTAGTTAGTTAGCTTAGAATTTTTGTATGATTTTTATTATGTTTGGATTGAATTGATTGATTGGGTTTTTGTCACAAAATATAGTTTTTAAAATTTTTTTTTAATGTTTTATTCAATCAGAGTGTTTTTTTTTTTTAATTATGGAGTCTCAGGTTTTTTTCGTATATGGCCAATTATGAAGTGTGTTTTTTCTTTGTTTAATTACTTTTGATTTTGTTTCATACTCTCAGTTGACCAATTATTATTATTATTATTATTATTATTATTATTATTATTATTATTATTATTTTATTTGCAAATGAAGCACGTTTCTTTTTTTGTGTTCAGGATTTCAAGAATATACTTTTTTGGATTTGGTTTTTGGACCTTTTTTAGTTATTCATCATATAAATAGTTTAGGTCGTTTCTTTTAACTAATTTATGGGGAATCCTTTTATGAATTTGAGGTGGAGAGGGAAAGAATGATATTTCTACGTTTATTTGTGTTTTTATACATCATTTTCACCTATAAAAAAAATTAAAAATTTTCAAATTTTAATGGGCTATCTTTTACTTTTTTTTTTTTTATTTGCCATGGTCAGGTGAGTTCTTTTTTGCTATATCTTGAAACCTATGCAAATTTAAATTATTTTCATTCTCATATTTGTGATCAACCAGTTTCAACAATTAACCAGTTTTAAAATCATATTTTTTATATTTTACTACCTATAAACTTTTGGAAGAAATAGTTCCAACAATTAAGCATATACCCTTTGAAGGAATCTAACTACAAATCTATTATAAATTTCCAAAACTAAGTATTGATTTGGCACAACCAATGGAGAACATCAATAAATTATCTTACTAATATTTAAACTTATAAGGTTCCTTTTATATATTTTTTTAGCATTTACTTCAAGACATATATTTGATCAAGTTTATTTATATTTAAGAAGTAACACTTATTAAATATTTCTAAAATTTTCAAATATTTCTAAAACGTACTGGGCCAAATACAATTTATTTTTTTGCCAAATACAAACATCACACTTATAAAATATTTCTAAAATTTTTCAAATATTTCTAAAATATATCAAGTGAAATACAAAATTTTTTTTTCCAGATACAAACATTTATAAGATCTACAAATATATTGGGGAATGCGCGACCAGACATCACTAGTATATTAATAAATGTATATAAAATGAAGTATTGAACTTCGTTCATATGTGTCATTTAATCAGGCAAAAAGGATCTTATACTTCATCCCGAATCTTAATCCTGATCGAAGAAGACGTATACATCCATCCATCCATCAATGATTAAGGATTGTATAACTTGGCACTGCATTTACAGGTCCACTTTTCCCGGCAGTAATCCGACGGCCCCATGCCTGGATCCACCTTGATTTTGATCGAGTTTGCATCTGCCGCATTTGGCTTTGCAGCTCCACGGCGCTGAACCCAAATGTTGCTGCTTCTTGAGGCGGCCAATGTCAGCCCTAGATCCGACAAAAGTACTGCAGAACAACGCTAGATCAGAATTATTTTCAATCCAAACTTCATTGATACATCAATAATGTACAGATTCATCCCCGAAAAGCAACATTTTTGAGGCCTCAAATTGCGGCATTATGATAAATGTTAGTGTATGTATAATTAGGGTTAGATTAGGGGTATTATTGTAATATCATTGTAACCCTTAACGCTATATATATGTTTGTCAATACAATGTAATACACGCGTCATATACATCTTCATGGTATCAACCGCTTTCCTGGGAGGTAATTTTTTTTAGGGTTTTCAGCCGCCGTTCCATTCTTGCTTTGATGGCTTCCCTAGTTTCTTCTTCTGCCGTTCTAATCTCTGTCCTTCCGTCGTCGACGCTGCTGCCGTTGCCGTTGCCGTTGATGTCTTGCTTGCTGTCTCTCTCTGTTCTGCTTACTGTTGTCGTTGGGTTGCTGTCTTGCCGCTGCCTTCACGCTAGTGCTTTGCTGCTGCTGTTCTACTGCTGCTGCTGTCGCTTGCTGTTCTGCTGCTGCTGTTGCTTTCACGCTGCTGCTGCTGCTGCCGCTTGCTGTTCTGCTGTTGTTGCTGCTTCCACGCTGCTGATGCTGCTTTCACGCCGGTGCTATTACTGTTGCTGTGGTTTCGTCAGCCGTCGACGTTTGGCTGTTTCTTTTGTCTTTCTGTTGCTGTCTCGGTTCTCTGTTGTTGCTGCTACATCTTCGCCGGTTGCTGTTTGAGACGCCTGCTGCGGTGCTTTCTGCGTTGCTGTTGCTGCATTGCGTTGCTGCTTTCTGCTTTCGCCCAACGTTGCTGCCTTGCTGTTCCTTCGCTACTGCTGGTTCTAGTTTTCGGCGTCGCTGCTATGGCAAATCCTGAAGATGAAGTGATCAACGATCCAAAGTCCTCATCGTCTTCCCGTGTCTCTACTGGTTGTGTTGATTCTGTTCCCGCTCCTTCTCGTCACCCTGCTTTTTCTTTAAACCATATAAAGAATTACATTTATGAAGTCTTGGACTACACCAACTACTTGATCTGGCGTGAGCTCTTCATTCCAGTTCTCAAGGGTCATCAGGTTTATGGCCATGTCGACGGTTCGACTTCTTCTCCCCCCGCAACTGATCCGGAATATGCTCTTTGGAATCAGAGTGATGCTCTTGTTCTCTCCTGGATACAAGCTACTCTTTCTCGTGAAATTTTATGCAGTATTATCACTCCGGGGACGTTGCTCACTGCCTTCGATGCTTGGCAGAAAATTGAGAAGCTCTTCCGAGATCAAGTCGAGTCTCGGATTGTTTACCTATGCCAGGAGTTCTACCATTTAGAGAAAGGTGATCTCTCCATGGATGCATTCTTGGATCGTTTGAAAGAACTTTATGATTGCTTAGTGTCTATTGGTGATCCTATTACGTTTCGGGACGTTGTTATGCAAGTTGGAATGGGTTTGGGTCCTTAATATAACGCTGCAACCTCTCAGATTTCTGCCCAAAATCCATTGCCAACCTTTGATGAGTGTCGGTCTCGGCTTCTGCTTGAAGAAGCTAAACTGTTAAAACAGCAGGAGAAGTCTGTCGCAGCCTCCTCCTCCACTTCTGTCTTTGTTGCGCAGCCAGCTTCATCTTCTTCAACTGCGGCTGTTTCTTCGCCGGTCCAGCCAGTTCAGGCTGCTTC